TTGTAATGCACTTTGTTCAACACTTTTCGACTATTGATTCATATTTTTGAGAGTGTATTACTCTAACTATCAAAGATTTGAAGAAATAGAGTGCAAAAAGAGTTACAAAGGATAAATAATGTGAGTGTTAACGAAGAAAATGTAAGAATCCAAAACAATGTTTCCTTAATTTATTCTATTTGAATGGGGTTAAGATACATAATTTTTTATTTATAAAAATTTGAGGCCCCCAAAAATTGGGGGCCTAAGGCCAATGCCTAAAATTTTATAGGCAAGAGCCGGCCCTGTTTGGAATCAGACTTTATGATGTCTCGTTTCCTCGGAAGATATCGTTTGCAATACGGCCTAACCCAGCAATATGAATGGTATACTACAATGAATGCCAACATTTTTACTCCACCACATTTAGATGACCCCATTGGATTAATATATAATTTTTTCACCTTGTGATTATTATTTAATTGTCACGCATGACAAAAAAAAAGAAAGTGAAAGTGAAGATTGATATCCAAGTCAAAAGTCATATTCAAGAAAAGAATCAAGCAGTGCGACGGGAAAATTGATAATGATATTTCACATCGTATCAGAGTGAAGTGGTTGAAATGGAGGTTCACATTCAAGATACTGTGCAATAAGAACGTGTCGTCAAGACTTAGAGCCCGTTTGGATTGGCTTAAAAAAAATAGTTTTTAAGTCAAAAATAAAAAGTCAAACTGAAATGACTTTTAAGTCAAAAATAAAAAGTAGGGGAAGACCTACTTTTGATTTCTGACTTAGTTCAAGTCATTTTTGACTTATTTTAAGTCATTTTTTACTTTACCAAACACTTCGTAACTTATTTTAAGTTATTTTTTATATTTGCCAAATAGTTTTAGAAGTCAAAAACTGACTTAAAAGTAGGTTTAACCAACTTTTAAGCCAATTCAAACACCCTCTTAGAAAGTAAATTTTATAAAGTAATGATCAAACCGATATTATTATATGAAGCAAAGTTTGCCAATCAAAAACACCCACATTCAAAACACAAATGTTTCAAATAGATATGTTGGGAAACTAGAAGAGATATGATTAGAAATAAAATAATACGAAACAAGGTGGGAGTTACCCACATGAAGACAAAAGAATGAGATGATTCATGCACATGAAGAGGAGGTAAGTGGATGTGTTGGTAAAAAAGTATGATAGATCGGTTATAATAGGAGTTACAACAGGTAGATCAAAAAAATATAGGAGGAAGATGATTAGATAAGACACATGCATAACTTCAGTGTTTATTGAAGACTTCCAGATAGAAAGCGATATAGATCAAAAATTAATTAAAAAGGTTAGTAGCTAATTGAGTGTTGTCGCACTTTGTATATGAGTGATAGGCAATAGCTCTTCTACACTTCTCCTTATCAATTGTACTATTATTTGTCGTATTATCATGCCTCAAATTCTTTTCTTCTTTAGAGATAGATAGTCTACCTCACAAAAGTTAAAAAAGAAAAAATTGCATACATCCTATTCTTTTCAAACGATATTATACTAATTATGTTGACTATATGCGATACGTGACTCAAAATTACACGCACTTTCACTAAAAATTATAATTATTGGCATATGTCCACTGTTCAAACAAGAGACTAATTAAAATTAGTCAATTTTTATGGCAGAATAAGATGAGAAAGTATTTATAAAGATAAGATTTGACATTGCACCAATTTCACAATACACTGTTTAATTATTGTAGACTTTCTGCACTTGCTTAGCTTGCAGATGATGCAACAGTCACTGGCCAGGCATGACCTTTGCTTTAGAGTATCCATCATCATTAGTATGAGATGTCACTTCGTCAAACCCCAAAATTTAGCAGTCTTGACATCTTCTTGAGCCATCAATTTGGAAAATTCTTCATGATCGTAATTCAATGTGGCTTTCCCCCCAAACTCACTTGGAAGATTCTCAGTATCGAAAAAAGTCTTCATCAACTCCACGCTATCTTTGTTATTCGGATACACAAACTTGATCTTCTCAAATGTTTTCGAATCAATAAAATATTTCACTACCTACACAAGAATGAATGAACAAATTGTTATCGACCAAGTTCAAAAAAGGATCCTCCGGTAGGAAAGAACCTTACCTTCCAAAATGCCTCGAATAATCTAGGTGGACTATAAAGAACAACTATTGCAAGCCTCTCTGGATAGTGATTCTGCAAAATGTAGATAATATCTCTTGCAGTTTTAATGGGAATGTTGGTGTTTAATGACCATCCATTGAAGTCTATCAACCAAGACATTTGTTCTTGGCCTTCTGGCAGGTTAAGGATAGCATTCTCCGTCAGATAGACTAGCTGACGAATATTACCTTCCGGAGATGATGTGTTCTGTCAATTGCCATCCATGAAACAAAACAGTTTGGATACTGTGTTAGCTTGATGTATATGGATTGGATTTTAATTCGAAAGGTAATATATCATGACTAACCTGTTTCCCAGGCCTCATTATAAGTACGGTCCTGCCTAGTCGGTCACGAAAATTGGCCTTAAAAACTTTGCCAGTTTCACTTTCATGTGCCACTTCATGCTGTGATATATTGCGAGATCATAGATTTAGAATCATCGAGCTTCCAACATTATACCAACTAACATATATAGATATATAAAGTTGCTCTAGTAACATTTGTGCAGACCAACTGTAATCTCTAAGCTGCAGTATGATTTGCCCTAATGATAAATGATGTGTTTATTCTACAACGAAGATAGAAAGTATTGACTTGCTTGAATTAGAAAACACTTTCATAGTTTTTATGCAAATACATCATTATCCCAATTCTTTTAGATGGATAATTCTGACCTTGCATAGTTCAGATGACAAAGTTGAGAGTACAAAGTGTGAGAATATAGATGGAAAAGGTCAAAGAACAATCACCCAACGAATTTCTTCAGGCTTGTAGTTGGATCTCCACTTGAGAGTCTCTTCGAGCATTTTCTTTGCCTTGTCAAGGTTCCAATTTCGAGCATCTAAGTATCGCCTCAGACACACATCAGTACAGAGCTTTAAGCTTCTCCCAGATAGAGGTCCAAGAGACACTCTTAACTCGCTAACCTGGTTTGCCATAGAAAATTAGGCCCCGTTCTATAGTTTTAACTACCAGTTATTGCTGAGTTCAATAGTCCTGACAATTCAGTTTGAGTAGAGAACATTTTCCCAGTGGTCAATCTAGTTATTATTAAACATCAAATGGATTTTTTAGGGATAATTGAGGCAGTTACTTGGTCAGCGTGCATTTGATGAAGCAAACCAGACTACATATTTTGTGAGAATAAAACTTGATCAAACTCTGTTACCTTTGCATCACGGCTTGCAGAATCATCAGCCTGATTCGTGTGAGACGACTTTCTCCGGAACATGGTTCCTGTTGATTGAGAAAATGGTGCTAATAATTATATATATGTGACTCTGCTTCGTCACTAAGACAAACACGCGTCGTAAATTTAGGGATTCCGGTAAGATAAGCTGGATTAGGGAAATTATGAAAAAGTAAATCAAAAAAAAGGAAAAGAGATGAGAATGACTTTAAGAATGAAATGGTTACCTTTCTTGGAACGGAGGAATTAGGAAGATGGCAGAAAGATTTGGACTTGAAAGCTATCTTACAAAAGAGAGAAACTTGTGATCCCCTCTATCTCTCTACATGAACACAATAACAATTGATTCTTGTAGAAAAATAGAAAAAGTCAACAACACCACTCGAAGTTGTAGAGAAATCACGCAAAGTAGGTGATCATTCTGTTTTAACAGTTAAAAAGAGGGAACAGACGGAAAATGGAATTTTCACACGCTTGTAGTCTTCTTTTTTGGACACTGTAATGTAATAATACCCAACTATGTTACTATTCAAAGCAAATATGTACAAATTTGGTTAATACCTAACAAACACACTGACGGTAATAACAAACTGCTGACCAACAATTTGGAGAATTCAACAAAATTCAGTTATTTTTTCTATTACCTGCCTTGTAGGGTTGGTTCAAATAGCTCCCCATGCTATAGGTAGCATTTAAAGACTTTCAGATTTAGGCAATGAATTACCAATTCTTAGGGGTTTCAAGTGATTGGTGTAAGATTTCCTCTCTTCTCCTTCAACTACAGTCGAAATATTATGGTGTTTCATTCGTTAGTCAACACAAGACCATAACCCAGGTAACTCCAAAGAAGTTCCTCTTTAAAGAAACAATACAGCCACGGATCAACATAAAATTATTGCGCCAATGTCAATAAAAGATAACTAACACAATAATGCCGAACACTACAAATCAAGTTTTAATACACGGACACAAGTTTGTTCTGGCTTATACTCTGCAGAAAATACACGAAGCTTGCACTAACATATGAGATTTTAAATTTATAATTGGCAAGTAACACCTTTATAGAAATGATACATGGTTACCCGTACTCCTTTGGCTTCCCTTTAAGCTATTGTTGATCACCTCTAGTTTTTCAAAATTTCTGAACACAAGAAGGTCCCAAATAAACACCTCATCCACTCCCTGAATGGCCGATGATCTTTCTCCTCTCTACAATCTTTACACAATCTAGTAGTCATTGTTGGATAGAAACTTACAGTTGGTAGTAATACTACTGTATGGCCTTGAGTCTTTGATGGTAGATCAATGATCTGTTCGTACTTTTCCAGATCGACTGTCTTCCCATCCATCTTTGTAGAGGAGGAAAGTACAAAATACTGCATTATACTAGGTCAATATCTCCTTCACAAGTCAACATCTCAGCAAGCAGTTCCACAATCTTCCACAAAGGTTCCTTAGATGTTTGCTCTCATAATTATCTGTTGAATTTCGGCAACTACATTACATGGCTGGCCTAATTGGAAATGTCTTCTCATAACCTTGTGTTGGCGACTTGGAGCTGTCCATCTCTGAAATAATTTCTGTGATAACCAGACTGCCTCACTCGGAAGTACATGATATCCTGTTTTCATAAACTCACAACATATTGAAGTCAATTGCCATTTTGTTTGAAGTACCCTTATCTCTCAATTTAATTGATTTGTCACCATTTACCACGTTAATACTAATACTATGTAGGAATAGGGCATATACACAGATCTTCTCGAGAAGTCATTTTGGTCTTTCTGGTATTATATTCTCTCGCCTCATCTCCTATCAGATTCCTCAAGTTAGGATTTTCTCTGATAATTCTAAAGATTTTGCCTTTGATTACCTGTTTCAACATGTCATATTGGATGAAAAGTTCATACAGAACATTCACAAATTTGACCAAACAGGAAGAAGAGAACTAGATCAACCGTAACAGAAGCAAAAGCATTTACCTCAGAATACTACAAAGGATTTCTGCATTCAAAATTTTAAGCTTCAAAAATCAAAACATATACATTATCTGCCAAAACTCAAATTACATAAATAAAAAGTTAAAAAGTGCATACAGAACACTCTCTTGGAGATCACTTCATATCATAGAATAGAAAGACACCTAGATGTCTCACAACTGGATACTTACAAATTTAGCCAACAAAAAAAGAGGAGAAAGGCCAGATCAGAGGAGAAAGCCAATCAATTGTAACAGGCAAAAGCATATACCGGAACAGTACACAAAGAGTTTTTGCATCCAAATTCTAAGCTTCAAGACATGTACATCATGTACCAAAGTAGCATGAATGAATTGTGTATGTGTACAGTGTGCACGGATCGAACAAAGCTTGAATAACCTGACCTGACCAAAGTTCACCCCTGCTTTTTCATACCAGTAGTTCTACCTATCAAGTCTGCATGACATCGGAACTTCAAACCATTTGCCACGAATGGACACTAAATAAAACTTGCCAGCGTTGGCCTATATCATCAATCAAGGCCTACAGAAAATAGTGTTTATAACCAGGGATGCAGCCAACAACATAGCAGAGTATCTCAACCGCAATTTGGTTTGATTTCAATTACATAATCCTTCTATGGATGAGTAGTTCTCCATCGATTACATCCTCCACGATAAATGCCAGAGTTGAGTATGCCAAAGATTACCATAGTTATATTGTTCTTCACATTATTAAGATCTCCCCTCAAAATCTCATACTACCGCCAAATTATCTACATGCATCTTGTACAACAGTTGTGTGCTCCAAGTTGAATAAGCAGCATCCCACCACTTCAGTACCAGATTTGCAAAGCGATTAAGGTTTAGTATTCAAATGCAAATCGTTCTTTCAATTAAAAATTTGAAGATCCTCATCGAAAATCCACTAGCTTCTTCTAGTCCAACTATGAATGTAATGAAGAGTAACAGCCCACTCATACAAAGAGACTTAATCGACATCAGCAGACAGAGAACTTAAATATAACAGTTCTGAATTTCTAATAATTGAATCTTTATGCTTGACACCAGTTAGGATGAGTCGAAGCCAATATCTAGAACTCAAGTCTAAATTCATTGATCGCAGTATATGTACATCATAATTATTTAAAATCAAAATTTTGGAAGTACAGAGTTGGAATCATTGTCCAACACCACAAAATGGTTCAGTATTTTTTTTCTGCACATGCTTTATTGTAAATCAAATCAAAGACGAGCATAATCTATGATGCATACCTGAGGTGTTTATTATTGGAAATCCAAGCAAACCATAATTATGAGCCTATTATGCATATATACCCGAGTCCGAATAGCGGATCAGATGAAGTTCTCATGGATTTTTGTCCACGCACATTTTACAGAAACAGATACTGAAAGGGTCTTTGCACCCAAATTCTAAATTTCAAGACATTTACATCATGTAAAAGCTCAATAGCATGAACAAATTGTGTACGTGTACAGTGTACACGGATTGAGCACGGATAGAGCAAAGCTTAATAACCTGACCTGACCAAAGTTTACCCCTGCTTTTTCATACCAGTAGTTCTCCCTATCAAGTCTGCATGACATCGGATCTTCATACCATTTGCCACGAATGGACACTAAATAAAACTTGCCATTGTTGGCCTATATCATCAATCAAGGCCTACAGAAAATAGTGTTTATAACCATACATAACCCAGGGCATGATACATCATCTGACGCTAAAGCATGTCTGCAGCCAACAATAGAGCAGAGTATCTCAACTGCAAACTAGTTTGATTTCAATTACATAATCCCTCGATCTTTGGATGAGTAGTTCTCCATCGATTACATCCACCATGATAAACGCCAGAGATGAGTATGCCAAAGATTACCATAGTTACATGTTCTTCACATTATTAAAATCTCCCCTCGAACTATCATACTACCGCCAAATTTTCTACATGTGTCTTTTGCAACAGTTGTGTTTTCCAGGTTAATTAAGCAGCATCCCGCCACTTCAGTACCATATTTGCTAAGCGATTAAGGTTTGGTATTCATATGCGCTCCTTCAACTAAAAATTTGAAGATCCTCATCGCAAATTCACTCATACAAAGAGACTTAATCGACATCAGCAGATAGAGAACTTAAATATAACAGTTCTGAATTTCTAATAACTGAATCTTGACGCATGACATCAGTTAGGATGAGTCGGAGCCGATAACTAAAACTCAAGTCTAAATTCATTGATCGCAGTATATGTACATCATAATTCCTTTAATCAAAATTTCGGAAGTGCAGAATTGAAATCATTGTCTAACACCACAAAATGGTTCAGCATTTTGTTCTGCACATGTTTTATTATAAATCAAATCAAAGACGAGCATAATCTACAATGCATACCTGAGGTCTATTATTGGGAATCCAAGGAAACCATAATTACGAGCCTATTATGCATACCTGAGTCTGAATAGCGGATCAGATGAAGTTCTCATGGATTTTGTCCAAGCACGTTTTACAGAAACAGATACTTGGTTTATTAGATTTTGAGTTGTTACCACTGGTGAAAATTGATGTTCAAAACTTGAAAGTTCACATTCATCATCTTCTACTGCCTTAACTGCACAAACTACCAACAATATATGATAATACAAATTAAGTGGCTTCCGTTGACTACTATGTCTAATTAATTGCAAAGTTCAAATGCTAACTAATTAGCCTGTACCTGATGTGGGCGGCGGGCGGCCAATTAAGAATCAGAAAAGGCAAAAAACACACACACACATCAAGAGGGGAGAGATCCCGGCCCAGAAAAAAAAATCCCGTGCTATCTCCCCCTCAAAACCCCGAAAAATCCATTTTTTATTAAACATAGGGACCTGCCATGCAAGCGCACCCGACATGGCAAAGGCCAGAACAGTAACAGAGTAATTTAAAACGGGACATGACCCCCTGATACTAGGGCTTTTATGTCCCGATTATACCCCTATACATCTTCATACAACAACAAATTCCTATGGATATTGCTCTCCACGCTTCTGATTATGATAGGAAATCCATCCAACAACGCCAAAAATTCAAGTTTATCTGCACCCTAGCCATCTGAGCCAAGATTCCCTGAGATGACGAATCAAGACTCCTTTCTACGACATCTGAGCTAAGCTTCGCTGAGATGACAAACCAAGACTCTTTACTACCAGGGGCGGATCATCCGAACCATTAGGCTGATCAACATTATTTTGGGCAAAAAAAAACCTGCTCCCTAGCAAACGAGTTGCTTAAAGAATTTCCATGATACTTACCTGGAGCAAAAGAAGGCTAGAATGGCTGGAGAGACTATCTAATTGAAGGCTATATATAGAGATTGTCAACCGACTTATTTGCGAGGCGGCGGAGAAAAATATAACCGACTCTTCTCTTGAGACAAAATATACATTATTTCGTATGGCGGTTATGTTGACCAATTATTCTGTGACAAGTGGCGTAACCGACGTGTTCCTCTCCGAATTGAGGGCTTAACCGCAAGTAAATCTAAGCGCAGCCCACAAAAGCCGTTAGCAACAAGGCCCAACTAAGCAAGCCCAAAACATTTATGTGGACGTTTAGACAAAGTAAAATTCAGAAATACTAACAAATCATGTAATAGTGGTTATTTTTTTAATGGAAAAAATGTTCATATTTTAGCATTTAATGGGACCTCTTATCAACAGTTTCAATATTATTTAAAAATGTCAATATTTTAGTTTGTTATTTTTCTTATTAAGGTATTTTTTTATTTGTTTGATTTGAAAGAATATAATTATTTAATAGCAGACAGGAGAAAATCATGGGAGAGAATATTTTTAAAAAAGGAACATATTACTTAAAATTCTAATCAATTACAATTTCAAAAGTAATTGATTGTATTCATTCCAATATGTATGATATGTGTATTTGTATTCATTATGATTCTCATGTTTGGGTTTGTATAATTACATTTATATTTCTTTATTAGTTTGTATTCATTCCAATAGGTATGTATCCATAAACTTGTGTTCATTCAGAAAAGATACAACATTGATTTGTATATTATTTTCAAAAGCGTATATTCTTTCTTAAAATTCGAACAAAATTTGTATTCCAGTCATCAAAACATAAAAATTTACAACCACAGTAACAATCAAAATTTGTATTTCAAAAAAAATTATATTTCATGGCAAAAAATGTATTTCTCATCTGTTATGTAATCCAAAAATATATTATATTCAATGTCTAATTTATAAAACATCTACTAAATAGAATTCCAAATTATTTTGTATTCCAATTATCCAACATACAAAACAATTCAGTCATGCACTGTTTTTATCCCAAACACATTACAGATTAAAAAATATGATCCAAATCCATTTTTGAATCGCTTTTTCAATAGCCATTTTCAAATCACTTCAAAAAAATTAAAGAATCAACAAGTTTTTGTATTTCACCGAGAATCTCGAAGTTCAACGAAATAAGTCAAATTTGTTTCGAAATCTCAATCGATTATTTCAAAATTTTCTTCCCTAATGAAAACAATCGCAAATTAGTCGAATTCACTCCAGCAAATACTATATGAATCATCAAATCAAATTGGTATGAATTAAAAGACTAGAGAAGAGGAAAAGGGAACCATGTATTAAACATGAAGTGATGAGTGAATTTTCAATTACCAGGGGTATTTCCATGGTCAATCTTTTCCTCATCCTCTTGGTTTCCTCCATAGATCCCTCCAAAACCTTCTTCATCTGACCTAGTTTCATATCCCTCTCCATAGCTGGACATTGTCTCCCTTTGACCCAACAAATATAAATCACACCTTATATAACACCTAGTTGTCCTAACAAGTCCAATTTAGAATTTAAAGTTTATAAATTTACTAAATACTTTTGATAAAAAATGACTTATGCTTACTTCAACCCAAAAATCAATTCCAAAAGCAAATTCATGAAAAAAAGATTGTCCAATAAATAAATAAATAAAATCCATCGCTCATTGATGTAGGAACTCAACACTCAGCGCGTGCAAAAGAATAAACATCTGAAGAATGTAAAGGCAAATTATGAATTGAGATGAATTTAATTTTGATACCATAATTAAAAATAAATTTTGAACCTTACTCAATTTTTAAACCTAGCTTATGTGATATAAAGATTGTGATAAGTTACATACGAAAATCAAACATCAATGCGAAAAGGAAACTCATTATTTTTTATATTTTATATATAACATAAAAATATTACATTTCACTTGTATAGTTGTATCTCACCTCGACTAACAAAATTAATAAAATGTATAACGAAAAAGTAGTAATAATATTAATAGTTACATAGGCTTGGTCTGGGTTCCATTTTGATGTCGTCCTGTTTCCCTGATTTTGTCAAAAGAGTCCGCAATCTAATCTGTGAAGAAGACTTTGAAAAAATGTGGAAATTTGAATACACAGAAAGTGGTTGTGCTCTGGTAGCTGATCTGAGAGCATTTAGCATATTTGCTGTTCGATTGTTAAATCATCAAATTTTAGGCTTCGAATTACTTAAGTTTAGGATCAAGTGGATATATAGAGAGAGGACAAAACAAAGTCTTTAGGTTTCTACTCGCGCGTATGCTCTTTTCCCCTCTTAACGCCTTAGCTTTCGCCACACATATTTTCTTTTTCATCAACGCTTGACACGTTTAGACTCGTTGCCGCTGTTAACATCGATTGGGTAAACACAAACTATTCTCCCATGCTTGTGACAATTTTTATATTTTCCTATTGTTATTGTTGTCTGATATTTCTATTAGATTTCAACTATTTTTTATTCAAACTGGGTATGGCTCTATCTAAGGAAGTGATCTCTATTTACTGCACCACACACTTGGTGGTGCTTGTTACAAATTTTGAGTCCCAAAACTCTTCAATTTCAGTGATTTCCAACAAAATATTTTTAAATTAGATTAATTAAGTTAATATAAATTATAGTAATAATTAACAATTCAAATATATATAGAATAAAAAAAAATCTTAAAACGTGCCACATAAATTAAAATGAGATAGTAAAAAATAAAAAGCTACCTCATCATTAACAATAATAAGAGAAAAACAAACAATATAAGATTGTAGCTGACCTAAGTTCGAACGATCCGGTCAAGTATAATTAGGTCAAGTAATATTCAATGGCCTTATAGATTCATGTCATATGTACTATATAATAATTTATGGTTGAGATCCATTTAAATTATATACTCATCTTATTAATAATAAAGCTGTCAACTATTTTTATTTTTTAAAACTATCAAATAAAGCAATTAAGTACCCAAGCTAATATTTTCAAGGAAAAAAAAAAAAGATTGGCGGCCGCGGGTATGCGGATCGAGAGTTGACGATAGGACTCAATTTGATAATGCAGATACTTTCAATTAGGTATATTAAATTTTCTTTTTCAATCTTAATTTTTTTCCTATCGTCAATTTTAATCTTAGATCAAAATTTTTTTCCTATCGTCAATTTTAATCTTAATCAATTTGACAGAAATTAAGATTGTCAATTTTAATCTTAATCTTAATTGACAATCTTAATCAATTTGATAGAAAAAAAATTAAGATTGAAAAGGAATAAAAAAATAAATTAAATTAAATAAGTTAATAAATTCAAGTATATATAGAATAAAAAAAAGTCTCAAAAAATGCCACGTAAATTAAAATGAGATTCTAAAAATAAAAAGCTACCTCATCATTAATATCAACAATAATAAGAGAAAAGCAAACAATATAAGATTGTAGCTGACCCAAGCTCTGCTGCATTCGGTCCATGTTTAGATGCATGTACGTATATAATAGTTCGTATGTTCCTAATTATTAGTTTACTTATTCCTTTTTACTTGTCCATTTTGATAAATCAATGAAGGATAAAAAAAAAAATCACCCATATATACCCTCAATTAAATAATTTTTAAAAAGGTAGAACTTCTTGAAAATCTTAAATTTTTAATTCATCCGCTTCATAATTAATAGGGATAAAATGGTAAACTCACTATATCAATCATTGTTTTTCTTAATAGGCGTATTAATTTAAAAGTGAACAAATAATTAGGGACATGGTATATTTGACAATAGATCAAAACAAAGAATTATAAGTGTTTTGTTTAAAAAATTTGTTCGTGATTTCAGTTCCAACGTGGCAAAAAAATTAAAGTTAAGAAATATTTATGGTGAAATACGATTATTACCAACTTCAAAAAGTTTCTCATAAAGTAATAGAAATGGTTTACTAGGAGTTGGTCAATTTGTTTGAGTGGTTTCCACCAAATGCGACTAACAAATTGGACCGTTCAACACCTGAAGAACCTCAGCAACATTCCTAGCTAAACAGAGAAAAGATATTAGGTGATTTCTTCTTTTTATTTTAATTTTGGTGAAGAGATTAGTTACTTGTTATTTGTTTTTAGTAAAAGATAACGTATATTTTGTAAGATTAATCGAGGTACGGACAAATTGATTCAAATACTACTATTATCATATAAGAAGGTATAATTATATAAGAAAAGTTCAACATAAAGTCATTGTAGTACTTCGAACCGTTGTAAACACTTCAAAAGTACCAAAAGCATTTAATTTGCTTTCTTAATGATGGATGTCGAATAAAAAGGTTTTACTATATTTGGTATTAGGAATATTATTTTGTTTTTTCGTAGAAAAGTGGTAAGCTCTGTTTCTAAGAGGTGTTAGAAAGAAAAGACGTAAAATCCTCTTTGGAGATAAAAAGATGTTGAAACCAAATTAAAGTCATTAGAATCCAAGGCATGCAAGAAAAAATAATGGAGACCAATTTAAATAATTTCCCTTGCACCTAGGTAAATAATTTGCTTAATTTGATTCCATAGTTAAAAAGTTATTAATTCAAATTCAGGTGCTAATTAAACTCATTAGTTATTTGGAATTCAAAAAACCTAAGTTCATTGAGAGAGTAAATTGTTCCGAAATATTTCTCAAATATACCGGCAAACTCATGGTTGATGATGAATAATTAAGGAGATTTCTTTTTGTCTTTTGGAACTTCAAATTTCAAGTATGATCTACATGTGCTAAAGCAAATTGCATTATTGGGTACTTCATACTAGCAATTAGGGCAGTAACTAAAGAGGTAAACTTTGCAAATGAAACTTTGAGAAAGGCAAAGTTATTACTGACATCTCACCTCTTTAATTTTGGGTTGAAATGTATGATTACCCTACCGAAGAAAAGGGAGAAAAGGAAGGTAGAGGAAAAATTACAGAAGGTGTCTTGACAGCCTTGGACCACTCGACCGTTGGATCAGACTCCTCCCTTCACCTACCCTACTCAACGGACCCCTTCAATTTATTTATTTTAAAGAACCAGCTCCAAATCCCGTTTCGTTATAAATTTTAAAGT